GAACTTGACGACAACGACTGAGATACCAACCGATCTGGGCGGGGTTGCTGTAGCCGCTACAACAACAACAACAACAAAATGCCAAAACCTAGTTCGCCTCTTGTTTTCACCAGCGGTGAGGTAAGGGTAGCCATCGGGAAGGCGAAAACCTCCAATGCCATTGGACCCGACGGAATATGCATGTTAATGCTGAAAAATTTGGGTCCTGCGGGAGTAGCGTACCTAACGGAGGTCCTCAACCTGTCTATGGCCACTCTCATCATTCCAGACATCTGGTAAAGGGGGGGGGAGAGTGGTCCCACTGCTCAAACCGGGGAAACCAGCCAACAAAGGAGAGTCTTATCGCCCGATAACTCTCCCTTCCCCGGTAGCGAAGACACTCGAGGCCCTGCTGCTCCCGTACTTTACGAAACACCTGACCCCAGCGAAGCATCAAAATGTAAATTTTTTTATATTGTGGCCCTCTTATTCCATTTAAAATCCTCCTTGGTATTATAACCTAACATTAGCCTAATATTTGCTAAACTAGGGGTTTTTTCAGTGTTATGATAATTGGATTAACATCGAATTAAGCCATACCGTTGATTTGGAAAATCTGAACGTTTTTAGCTATAGAGGAAATGTTACTATTGCAAATTGGGATATTGGGTTAGCTAAAATCTCTCAGGAACCTCTCACTGATCATCAACGATCGAACCTTAGGGTGAGTTACTGGAATTACGTGTGTAGGGAGTTTAAAGATAATATTTGGTCTTAGGGTTTAGCAGAAAAACACCGCTTGTACAGACTAAAAGCAGATTTTGCAAATTTTTTCTACAACAGTTTACAGATTCTAAAGCCGGAAAATGTTTAGTAGCGCTCACATCGTTTTTGCGGGGGGCCCGGAGGGGCAGGGGCAGGGCCCCCAAACTCACCCCACCAGAAAGGGGACAGTCCCCGTTTTCTAAAAAGGCGTAACTTGGGCTCCTACCACAAGCCCCTAGGGAACCGTTTGAAATAGGGGGAAAAACGGAATTTTCTTAGGCAAACTGAGCAGTTTGAAGTGGAATATGACCCAACTAACAGAAACCGTGGGATTTTTTAATAAAAGAAATTATGCCAAATTAGATATCGGGTGATTTTGAATAAAGAATAAAATAGTTAATTAAAAATAGAAAAAACAAGTTTTTATAAAAAAAAATGTTCTTTTTAAGAAATGTATTTTTGCGTAGAATTCCTTTCTGCGTAGGCGGCGTTCGGCCGCACTTAGGGATTATAACCGTCAGGCAGTAGAATTCTCCATTCTGTGTTGCCAAAGAAGGGGGGCTGAACACCTTTTGCAGAGAACACCTTTCTGCGTAGGCGGCCTTCGGCCGCTCTTAGGGATTATAACTCTCAGGCAGTAGAATTCTCGGATACTGTTTAGTAAGTGGCCCACCTATTTCGGGGTATTGCGTCCAAAGGGGTGACCCGATCCAAAAAAAAATTGCACACACTTGTAGTCAAGGGTCTACACCATGATACAAATATTTAAAGATGAAGGGGGAGAGGTGTGGCCACAGACCCCTAGGAAACCGTTTGAAAATGGGCGAAACACGGCATTTACCGAAGGAAATTGAGCAGTTTGAAGTGGAATATGTATAACCCCACTAACAGAATCTGTGGGGATGTGGGGCCTTCGGCCGCACTTAGGGATTATAACCCTCACAAAGTAGAATTCTCTTTCTGTTTTGCGAAGGAGCTGAACACCTTTTGCAGAGAACACTTTTCTTCACTTCTTATCCGCCATTGCTCCCATTTGACGTAAACTGTGCTTTTGACGTTTTCTTTTAAATTCAAGCTACCATATTCTTTGAAGAAACTAAAAAGTGTTTTTTTACTTCAAACAAATTATTTCAAAAATTATTTCATAGAATATATTTTGAGCAGCATTTTATAGCGAGCTTTTAGCGGTTTATTTCTAGATTTAACTAAAAAACGGAAGGCAAGTAAAATACTCCTATTACATTGCGTTTAGCACATAGATTCTCTATTTGTTTATGCAATCATTTTCATCATTATTTAGTACGCTTAGCTGCATATTTCGGGATGGCCACGTGCATGGTAACTTCACCAAGGTGTTGTTTGCTTGTTCCAACCACTTTTCGGCGGAAAATTTTTAGCCTCGGGACGGATGTGCCCAATCTAAGCGAAACACTGCACCAGCATTCATTCTCACGACAGCGTACCTACCGTAATGAGTCGGGTTTTACCCGAACAAGGGCTGTTGTTTCGGCGATCTAACCCCGTTTAGGTCGGCGAAATCCATCAAACGTTGCTCGATCCTAGGGCTACACCTTCTCCGCACCCTTCTGCTCAGGGCTGGCATAAAGTCGAATTCAGGGCCAGAAATCTACACCTGCTGCGTATGCCAGAGATGACTGCATACAAACTCCACGTCATTCGTGGCCCCTCCCCCGCGACGCCTCCAACCACCACCACAAGGTAGCACCCCCTTTTGCAGCACGTGCAGCAGGGGACCGGCAGGCAACACAACTCCTTAACACCACACATCACAATCGGTCTCCCAAGGCACACAAAGGTGCTACAATTTAACTGTAACGGACTCCAGAGCAAGATCGAGGAGATAACAGTCTTTATGGGAAGGCATGGAATATTAATAGCTGCGGTCCAAGAGACGAAGTTGCACGGCAATTCAACCCTGTTGAATTGCGCCGGATACAACGTGCACCGTCGAGATCGCGAGCGAGATAATGGTGGAGGTTTAACATTCATCACGCTCCACACCGTGCAGTATCGTCTCATTGAAGCAGACATCGACCGCAGGGATACCATCCTAGAATGTCAGGGTATTGCTATCCGGTCAGGCGACGTTGAGCTCGAAATATTTAAGGTATACATACCCGTGTCACCAGCTGCCCGGCAGGATATCACCCTGAATTAGGTGCGCTACTCAGAGGTGAAAACCGTATGGTAGTTGGTGATTTTAACGCGCACCACGATCTTTGGCACTCAAGATAGACGATTCGACATTCTGCACAATGAACGACGACGCACCCACCAGGATTAGGGGCAGCTGCTGCAGCTCGCCAGATCTAACAATTGTCAGCGCTGGTCTGATAAACAGCGTATCATTTGTTGTTGTTGTTGTAGCGGCTCTACTAAGCCCCGCCTGTTTCGGGTCAACTTTTAATCATTATCGTCAAGCTCAACTAACGGTAGGCCCAGGAAACGAGCTGTTTCGATGGGGTCGGACCAAAGGGTGAGGGGTGTTAGTTGAGTCGGATTGAGCTGGCATGTGAAGAGGTGGTTGGTGTCGTGGGGGGAGTCTCCACATGCCGGGCACTCATTTGGGATGTTTGGGTCGAGTCTGGACAGGTAGCTGTTTAGGCGGCTACAATATCCAGACCGTAACTGAGCCAGGGTAACGCGGGTCTCTAGGTAACTGAAGCTCCGTCTCTTCCACAGGTGGTGATTGGGCTCTGATAACGACATTCCTAGGCCGGGAGTCGAGCTAGGTGGAGACAGACTCCCTATGAATGTCGTTGATCGCTCGTCTGTACGTCATTAGGTCCAGTGGATCGTCTGTGTGGGTCTGGACTGCGTCCTTGTATACGAATAGGTGCCCCCTGACGTGCCTGGGCGGAGGCTCCTCCTCCAGCAGTGGTCTGTTGGGGTGTTCACTTCTGTGACACCCCACAAGAAACTACTTACAGAGCATCTTGTTGTGTTCCCCTACGGGGAGCACTTGGGCCTCACTGTGTTGGTGATGCTCAGGCGTCATCAGAAGGCACCCAGTCGCTGTCCGGAGTGCGGCGTTCTGACAAGTCTGTAGCTTCATCCACTGCGTCCAACTAGTCCCCGGCGACCAAACTGGCGCAGCATAATTTAGAACCGGCCGGCCAATTGCCTTGTATGTTGCCAGCAACGTTTCTTTGTCTTTGCCCCAAGTGCTGCCGGCGAGCGACTGAGGACCTTGTTGCGGCTCTGTACTTTGTTGACAACTGCGGTTGTGTGCGCGGAGAAAGAGAGCAGGCTATCAAAGGTAACCCCTAGAATTTTCGGGTTGTTCACCGTCGGCGTATCATGGCGACCTATGCTGACTCTAGCATCAGACCATCTTCCCATAGTCATCTCGATTGATAAACCTACCGACTTTGCTTCCGTGGATTGCCGGACTTATGTCAACTTCTCCAAAGCTGACTTGAAAGGCTTCACGGATGTTACTGAGGGCACCGTCACTGCACTACCCATACCAACCGACGTTCATGTAGGCGAACGTAAGTTCGGCAGGGTTGTCACCGCTGCTGCAGCTCGCTTCATCCCAGCAGGATGTATTAAGGATCCACGTCCGAATTTTCCTGCTGAAGCGGCTCTTCTAGCTGATGAGCGCGACAACCTTCGTCAGGCCGATCCCGGAAATCCCTGTATTAGAGATCTCAATTCGCAGAATCGGTAACTTGTGAACGTACATAAGTGGAAGGAATGGGAAGAGCATCTGAAGACCTGCAACTTCGCCTCTGGTGTGAGCAAGCTTTGGTCAACCGCGAGGTCGTTGTCCAACCCGACGAAGCGCGACGACAGAGTCGAGATAGACTTTGGTTACCACGCTTCGTCGGCCCCGGAGAGATGCGCGAGCTATTTTAGCCGGCAGTTCATTCTGCATCCTGCACCAGAAGGCTGGACATTCCCACGACAGCCGGTTCTACGTACCGGAATGACTCGGGTTTC